ATCTTTTCATCCATCAATGGATATTTAGATTGTTTCCATATCTTGGCTATTATAAATAATACTGCAATAAGCATGGGAATGCAGTTATCTCTTTGAGATACTGATTTTGTTTCCTTTGAATAAATACCCAGGAGTAGGATTGCTGGATCATAAAGAAGTTCTATTTTTTTTATTTTTGAGGACTCTCCGTACTGTTTCCCATAGTGACTATACCAATCTTCATTTTCAGCAACAGTGCCCAAGAGTTCCCTTTTCCCCACACCCTTGCCTGCACCTATCAGTGACTACTTAGTGAGCAGCAACCGTGTCCTGGGTGCCATGCTGGGCAGTGGAGCTACAAGGCCGAGTCTCTGCTCCTGTGAGATGCACGGTCCCAGCCTTTTTAGCCATGTGCCGCTCTCCTCCCCAGTGCTTGCTGAGGATATATCATTTTTCTGTAGTCCATCTCCATCATTGGCCTTCTTGCTATCCCAAAGAGCTTAGATTCATCTGCTTATCTTCTAGCTCCCTCCTCTAGACCACTTATACAAAATATTAAATAAGATAAGTCATAACACCAGCACTTGGGAAATGCCCCCGGTCCCACTCCTCCATGCAGAAACATGTCTTCTTCTGCCTCTAAGTCGATTCTCTCTCCACGGTCAAACTGCCCAAAGTCCCACAGAGACTCATTATTTTTAAATGTCTTTTCACATGGAACTTTGCCAAAGCCTTTTGGGAAATCTAAATCACTAAGGGCCAAGCACTGAGCTAGGAATCGGGAGCCCTGAGTTCTAGTCCTGACTGTTACTGGTTTTTCACTGAACTTCAGGTAATGCACAGAACAGCCTCCACCTCAGTTTCTTCATCAGCAAAATGAGAACAGTTATACTAGTAGTCAACATCATAAAAATCCTACAGCCACCAGATGAGACAGTATTATTTAAGAATGCTGTGCAAGGTAGAAAACAAAAATATAAGGGATCATTATTTGCAAATTTACAACAACAAAAAAAAGAAAAAAAAAAGAAAATTTATAACACCATCGTCTTCATTCATATGCATGACTCTTTCCCAAAAGAACTGTGGTAGGCGCAGACATGGTCCCTCTGGCACTCCCAGGGTGGTGTTTGTTTAACATCAACTACTTTCACTTCCAGAAGGGATATAGGTTTATACAACCAAAAGAACGTGGTTCAACATGCGTTAGTAGAGTACATGAACACACGGAGGCATGGGCAGAATCAGTCAGACCTTGGTATGGGTTGAGGCCACGCCATTTGCTCAATGTGTGACCATGAACAAGTTACTAAACCTCTCTGTGCTTCACCTGTAAATGGGATGTTAATGCTTACTTTGCAGAGTTATGGGAAGTTAATATATGTAGAAAGCCTGCATCAGACCTGACACGTGGTAGCCACACAGTTATTAGCAGTTCTTGTTGCTATTGTTTACATGAAGCCCAAGGAGCCAGCAGCTGGGCCATCCTACCTAAATTTGATGATTATCCATCATTCAGCCATTTCTACCACAAACTCCTCTTATCCAAGATCTGTGTGAGATTCTTCCAACAGATGGATGAATGAATGCTTTCCTTTCTGCTTTCTGAAATAAGAAGTGGACTATAGAGGGGTGTGGGGAAGCCTGCCTTTCTAATTACTGCTTTCCTCCCCCTCCCCCCAGGCAGAGTGTGGAAGGGGGTACCATAACCCCATCCTGCCTCCCTGGGGAAAGCCCATGAAAACTTGCCCTAGGTCCTCCTGGGTATGTCCCTCTGTCCCTGCCCTAGCTCACCCAGTTTCTTCTGATGTCCACCGACATCCAGCACATCACCTGTGCTAAAGAGCAGGGGGTTGGGGCCCAATGATAAAGAAGATTGATCAGGAACTGAATCTAATTTCCCTTGGGGATCAGACCATGGGCACTGGAATGGACTCAGATCCACCAGCATTTCCTAGGGCAGCCTGCTCCTGCTGGCAGCCTTAGGGGGCTGGAGACCAGCCAGCATGCTCAGTATCACTCTTGTAGTTCTTGTGCTGCAGCTCCAGAGGTGACTCACAGCTGGGGATGAAGCCTGGCTGGGCTGGGGGCCAAGGCCATCGCCATGCGGTCAGACTTGGGTGGTAATCCCAATTGGTTTTGCATGAACTCTCATTTCATTCAGATTAAGGAAGGACCTGGCCAGGATAGACATCTGGTGGCATGGGGGTGGGCACAGAAGCGGGAGGGCTACTGGAATCTGAGGCATTTTGATTTTCAGAGCTAAAATTATTCCCTTTCATTCCTTTATCGGTTTTTGATTTTGTTTTTGTCTTAGTCAGCTTCATGAGAAATCAGCAGAGAGGAGTTTTAACTGCTTTCTTTTATTTCTTCATTTTTTAAATAAATATTTGTCAAGCTCAAATATTTCAGCATCAGAATCAGGAATGACTGGCAAAAGTGTCTGGAACTGTATAGACCAGAGACCCTGACCTCAGCCCCCTACCTTTATCTAGGTGGCATGCCTCAGGGGGTAAACATGAAACCCACCAAGGAACAAGATCTCATGTAATGGGTGGTAGGAAAAGCATGGACTTCAGAGTTGAACCTAATTCTAATACTGTCCCCAGTTTTTTTTAAAGATTTTATTTATTGATTCATGAGAGATACAGAAAGAGAGAGGCAGAGACACAGGCAGAGGGAGAAGCAGGCTCCCTGAGGGAGCCCAACGCGGAACTCGATCCCAGGACCCTGGGATCATGTCCTGAGCCGAAGGCAGATGCTCAACCACTGAGCCACTCAGGAGCCCTGTCTCCAGATTTTATAGCTCAGGCTAATTGTTTAGTGCACCTCTGTCTCATTTTCCTCATCTTTTGTATCAGTATAGCAGTTAGGACTTTTGATGTTGCAAAAAAAAAAAAAGGTCTTTTTATTCTTTTAACAATAAGGAAATAACTTGAGTAACTAGAAAATCCTGACATAGGGCAGGCTTTGGGGTCAGTTTGATTCAGTGGCTCAGGGACATCACCAAAGACTAATTTTTTGCTCCATCTCTGTACCTAAACCTTTCCTGGTTTCAACTCCCCTCTTTATGACAAGAGGGCTGCCCACAGTTCTTAGAGCTAGCTGTCTTTTTGACCTACTGAGGGTGAGGAGAAATTCTCTCTTGCCTGATCACAAAACACTATTTGTCCCTGCTTTGCTCTGAGTGCACATGTTGATGGCTTGGACCTGCTTTCTCTCAATCACTGTGGCAACAGAGTGAGATTAAACTGATTTGCTTGTGCCCTATTGGGAGCACCCCCCCCTCCCGGGGACGCAGGGGGTGGATCTTGTCTTGCCCCTAAGGTGAGAGAGGGTGGAATGGATGCTGGAGAGGCCGTGCAAAGTCAGGACAAATGACCACTAAGCCCGCAGGATTGAGAGGATTACACCAATAAGGAATTATGTGCAAAACCATTTCTTAGTGCCTGATGTCTAGGAAGGGCTTAAAAATAGTGCTTAAGAGGAAAACAAACAAACTGAGCCTGGAACAAACCTTAAAGCAAACACACAAATCACAAAATAACCTAGTGTGAGAGTTCGGTGAATTCAACAGAAACGAGAGGCAGCAGACTTTCAGATGAATTGATGTCATCAGTAGATGTTAATGTGGTGTCCCTTCTGTAATTTATTTGCTCTGAATAACTTCCCTTCTCCTTGATCTCATGAGAGGCTAAAAATTAAATATTAAAAATTAAAAGTAAGCGTGCATTATGGGAATATATGGAATATAATTTTTTCTTTAGTTTTGTTACTGAAACCTCTAAAATTACACTGTGGGTACCTTATGGAGTCTTCTACAAGTGGCATTGACTCAAGTTTGGTGATCCTCTAGCTACTGCCTCTCCCTGTCTCCCTCTGGATGTTTGATCCCAACCTAGGTGGGTGGCATTGTTAGTACTGGGCAGCGATTGCACTGAATCTATGAGCTCAGGCTCCTAACTCCTAATGATTCTGATTCTAGAGACCTGGGCCAGCACCCCAGGTCAGATGAGCACCATGTGGCGTTGGGAAGCTGCTGTCTAGATTTGCCATCCACTACAGGGGAGCGTGGGCAAAAGTCTGTCCTGGCTGTCTCCACGTTGTGCAAGCAGTTCTAGGAAGGTCTGTGGATGGCCCAGGGGTGATCTGCCGTGCTAAGTGTTCTCAGAAGTTTGGAGATGACTCATGATCAACGTGCATTTTCCTGGAATGCTCATGTCCCCTTCCCTGGGGATGTGAATAGAACCTCTAGGAGATTTCAAGACCTACATCTAGTCCTAAGCCTGAAGCAGAAGCCTATGGTTTAATGGCCAGAATGAGTCCACTCAGTGTGAAACTTCTGGGGTTGGCACCTTGCCTGGTTCCCCTCAAAGATGTGCCATACTAATGTTAGGTATTAATAACAGGGGAAACTGGATGTGGGGTATATGGGATCTCTCTCTACTGTCTTTATAAGTTTTCTATAAATGTAAAAGTGGTCTAAAATAAAATGCTTATTAAAAGAAAAAACAAACAAACAAAAAGATGTGGCAGTGATAGCTGGGTAGCCTTTTCAAAGAATGAGCCTGCATCCTTACACCCAATTATTTTCTGAGAACCAATCTAACAAATAATATCTATCGCCTTTCTGTTACATGATGACACTCTCATGTGAGGCAGCTTCAGTTACCTACTGTTTACCCAATTCCCAGTCCCTGCTCCCTAATACCAACCCTATCCTTCTCTCCGAAGACTATAAGCCAAGCCTCAAAGACTAAAGCCTGAGGCAGAGAGAGCCAGAGAGGACGACACTAGGTGCTTTGTGATACCTGGTTTGGTCTCCCTGCCTTCCCTTCTCTTTGCTTTTCCCACCAGGAGGCCCATGGGGGTTTTCTCACCCCAGCTCCTCATGGCCTGGCCTTGGGGGCAGAGCTCCCTGCCTCTCCCTTAGCTGTTGGGAGGGTGTCGGGGCTGACGCTGGACTTCAGGCAGTGTAGGATCTGAACTCATATCATCTCTCCTCTTCCTCTTCTCCACAGATCCGGGTGGATGGGCCCAGGGGCAATGCCCTCCAGTATGAGACTGTGCAGGTGGTGGACCCCGGCCCAGTCCTCCGGGATATGGCCTTCTCCAAGGACCACGAGCAACTCTACATCATGTCAGAAAGGCAGGTAAGGCTTTTGGGCTCTGTTAGACATTTGTTTTGCTGCTAAGTACTAGCCTGTGGCTCAGTGGAAACCTACGGGAGGCCAGCTGCAGAGAAGGCATTTGATTTATTTGGCTCAGTGTGTATCTTTTTGGTTATGCTGCCTGGGGACTGAGGCTGAGTGCCCTGAAACAGGGAATAAAGCATTTAAAATATCAAAACATCTGGGAGTCTAGAACAAATCCACTACCTTCAAAGTGATGGGTGAGTATAGATTCAGGGCCAACCTTTACTCTCTTTTGAAGAAACACGGTACAGATGCCCACTTTTTTTTGTCCAGATTTCCCTACACAAAGTATAATCTCCTACCAAGGTCACCTTCTATGGTAGGCAAGGATGAGTTGCCCAAAAATCTTGGTTGAGGTAGCATCACAGGATGGTCAAATGGATGGAGATTCAAAAAAAACAGGGTTTGTGTGTGTGAAGTGAGACGATACAGCATATGTTCTGAGCCTTTGTGTGTACCTTATAACTCTAGCATGAAGTTCCAGCAAATTCCTTGAGGCCAAGCCAGGCAGAAGAGGGAGGGTGCAGGAATTACTGTTAACTGATACTGAGTAGGAAGTAGCAAAGTTGGGCTTTGTTCCTGGAACTCAGCTGAGTACTAAGTAAGTTCTTCAAGGCTCCTTGGCTTATACCAGGGCTCATATGTCTATAGCAGGCAAAGGTATAAATATCAGCTTGCAAATTCCATATATTCAAGGGTATTTCTGGGAGTGCCCTAATTCACAGCCCAGAGTGCTCCACCCCACAAGCACTACCCCCTCAAGGGTGGATTAGCGCTGCCACACCTTGCCTCTCTCATCTCAATGTTGGCTGGGTCATTCCCAGGAGCTGTCGCTCCAGTCCATGAATATGTATGTGACAAAGGCAGCAACCATGAGGGGCAGATCCCATCTCTTATTCATCTTCATTAGTGAGGCCTGAACTCCCCAGAGGACCTTGCCGACAGAGTCTGGATTGTTCTGTCTGTCCCCTCTCCACATAGGGAAGGAGATGAATACCACATTATGCCACCCACAGGGCTTGTGCATTATGCCTTGGCAGCCCACAGCAGCTCCATCCTCCCCAAGAGCTCGATGACATCTTCTCTCGGTGTGGGACTCCCCACTCAGCCACACTGGGACCCATTGTGGTGCCTTCGTGGAGGCTTCCCTGGTCTGGGGATTGCCTGATGTGGGGCCAACAGAGGCACATTTTACCCCAAGAGACAGGACAGGGTATGAGGCTGCTCCTCTGCTTTCATTCCTTGCTCTTTTTCAATGGGGCCCACATCCCACACTCCCTGCCTACCATTGAGGCCCTAGATACTGAGGGAAAGCAGCTTTCCTTAGTAGAATGAATCCTTTGGAGAAGACCCAGTACCTCCACAGGACATTAAGTATTTCAGGATGTCTTGCCTTACCTGTAAGCCAGGATCTCTGAACCTGGAACTTGAAGAACTTCCAAAGATGGAAAATATAAGCTATGTGGAGCCCCCTCTGATAACTGAGTTGGGATTGTGAGCTCTTTGTCCTCTGCCATTCTGCTTTCCTGAGAGCAGTCAGTGGTCAGTGCCCACTCAGGCTTGGAGAATGAGGTCCACTGGAAACTCTGGATTATTGGAAAAGAAAGGATGGCAGGAATGGATGGGGCCAGGGCATTCATCTATTCTGGGGCTGCTCCTCGCTGAGATGGAGGGCAGCCTGCCATCAAAACAAGACGCCAAGGCCCCTGACAGCTGGCCCAACCCTGGTATCCAGTGGGTTTGCACATTCTTTATGTGGGGAGCGGTAGTACAGCAAAATGGTTAAGTGCACAGGCTTTGGTGTAAGAATACCTGAGCATGAACCTTAGCTCCACCATTTACTAAGTATAATTTCAGGTTAGTTCCGTAACCTCTTTAAGACTTAGCATTCTCAACCATTGCATGGAAGTAATAATAACATCCGATAGTGTCCCAAGGATCAAATGATACAGTGCATGTAACAAGCCCAGCACAGAGTAAGGGCTTGGTGTTTGGAAGCTCTTATTCTCATGACACTGCAACAGGAGGGTCTGGACATTGCCCATGTGTGAAGTCAGGCAAGTGGGGGCACCAAGATTCTGTGTGACCTATCAGGTATGGAGCTTAGGAGTTCAGATGGAGGCTGAGGTGGGCAGGGATTCAGTCCCAGTAAAAGTAGATCAAGAACCCACAATCTGCTTTATTGACTGGGCACACCAAGTAGAGCTGCGGGCAAGAGCACTTGGTAAATATTCTAGGGCTATTCCAGCGTCTGTCAGCTGATGGGTTGGTGTCGGCCATGCTGTGTCAGAGCACTTTGCAGCGCTGAGTCTACAGGTCAGTCTGTATAAGCTCAGCAATCATGTCTGCTTCGCTCGGAGGGCACTTCCCTTTCTTTTCTGGCTAGTTTTGCATTATCCATCAAAACTGAGCTGTGCTGCCACATTCTACCATGAGTGATTGATGACTTCTGGGTAGACAACTCTTAGGTAGCTCTTCTCACCCTGGGATGTCTTTCTCTCTTACCAGACTGTCAGCAGCTTGAGGGCCACCCTATGTCTTCTTTGTCTAAAACTCACCTCACCTACACCTTTGATATTGATAATTATTTGATGAATGAATGAATGAATCCCCATTGTCATCATTGACCCAGAATTGGAAAAGAGAGGGACCAATACAAATTATCTGCTGCTTATCTTAATTCCCAAATTTAAACTTATATATGTAATCAGAAGACCACACTTCGGACAAAGGAAGTATCTCCCAAACCTCAGTCATCTGTTTACCACCACCATAACTTTTATCCTGCCCTGAACTATTTTTTGCTTTGTGTTTTTATTTAAATAAACATACTGTTTAAACCTAAATAGCCTAATTTAACCACCTCTTACATAGTACTATTATAGATCTGATGTGCTAGTCATATATAATGCCTAATTGTGATATTGTGGCTTATAATAAGAAACATATATTTAGTCTTCATCCCCATTTCTGGTACTGAGCTACTAAAACCCATGGAATTTCCTGAGTGACAAGAGCAATGAGAGAATCTTTTGTTATAGTATTTGGTCTTCTGTCCTCAGTTCCTGAAATCTTCAGGAGCCATAAAACTGAAAAGGGTGTCTTGTTATTTGTAATAAGCCCCTTTCAGCCACCACTGAATTTTTGTAGGTTAGGTGACTTTTGGAAATCCCCTAAAGAAGGAGGGGGGGGTGAGTGGGGTGTTGGTTGTCTCGGGAGCCAGCCATGTGATTAGAGGGGCGGAAAAGCTAAGGATGGTATAACTAGTAGAGGTAGAAGTGGAGAGTGGGAGGGGTGTGTGTGTGTGTGTGTGTGTGTGTGTGTACACACATGTACGCATACAAATACGGTATATTTCCTGGCTCTGTGACCATAGACAAGTTACTAACCCTCTCAGTACCCCATTTATTCATTCAATACTAACAATTATTGAGCACCTACTGTGAAGCAGCCACTCTCCAGATACTAAGGATTCTGTGAGGAACAAGACAGACAAAATCCCTGCCCTGTTAGTGCTTATATTTTAGGTAGAGACACAAGATCACAAATGAGTAAGTGAATGAATGGTGTATCTCACATGCTGATGAATACAATGAAAAATTTAACAGATCCAGTGGGAATGAGGTGGTGGCCAGGAATATGGTGGGGAATGCTCTTTAAGGAAGGCTGTCAGAGGGGCACCTGGGTGGCTCAGCAGTTGAGCATCTGCCCTTGGCTCAAGGCATGATCCCAGGGTCCTGGGATCAAGTCCCGCAACGGGTCCCCTGAATGGAGCCTGCTTCTCCCTCTGCCTGTGTTTCTGCCTCTATCTGTGTGTCTCTCATGAATAAATAAATAAAATCTTTCAAAAAAATGAAAAAATAAACCTAAAAAAAAGGAAGGTTGTCAGAGAAAGCCTCCTAACAAGGAAACTTTTGAGCAGAGAGAAGGATCAAGTGAAGTGTCAGGAGGCAACTGGTAGCAAATCCTCATCCAGGCAGAAGGAATAGCTAGCACAGAGGCGGGTGATGGGAACACGCCATGGCATTTCTGGGGATGCAGAAGGACTGCCTTGGAACGAGGAGTGGGAGATAGTAAGTGATGCCCTGGGAGAGAGGCCGTGCCTCAGCGTGTGGTCTGTGAAATGGGAATATAGTAAATGGTATTGATCCCTTTGGGCACTGACACAGGTCAGATGAGCTAATGCCCGTAGAAAGGGCTTGGCTCAGCATCTAGAAGTGAGTGAACACCCAAACTGTTATGATGATTTGCAAATTGAATAATCCCAAGCCAGGATATTATTTGTGCTATTAGGAATATGTGAGTTCCTCTTTATTTCTCACCCAGTGAGGCTTTCACTTTCCATTTGTACTTGTCCTGGGTATGTCGGAGGGAGTGTACCCCTGGGTATCTCCGTAGAATGTGTGTGTGTGCACACCACCCCTGTGTCTGCCCCTGCCTGTGTGTCTCCCATCAGCCTCCTTCTCGCTTCATACATGTCTGTGTGTATGTCTACAGTGTGTTACTACAACTCCAGTTCTCCCAAGGGAATGTCTACACACATTGAAACTGCTGTGATAAAAACCTGCCAAAGCAATGGGAGGGAAGTGAGAAAAAATGTCAGCGAGGCAGATGAATTAGATGAGGTGGTAGAGCTGGGCTGTCCTCAGGTGCCCTGGAGCAACCCCCATCGGTGAAGAAGCAGCTGTCCCCCACATAAGGCAAGTTTCTTTGATAGGCCCCAGACCAAGTGGCACATTCAGCATCTCGGCCATTTCACACCCCAGCCCTCCCCTGCCTGAAGGCCAGAGGCACCAGATACATGTTTCTGTTTTGAAGACACACTTCCGTTGTGTCTGGGCCAAAGCCATCTTTCATGGCGTTCTTTGTTTTACCGACTCCTATTGACCTGCTGGGCCTGCTTCCAGGCCCAGGCTTGAGGACACTCCCATGAGCAGGTGACACTCGGGTCCTAGCTG